TCCTAATCCTAACCCTAACCCTAACCCTAACCCTAAACGTAACGCTAACCCTAACCCTAAACATAGCGCTAAATGTAACGCTAAACCTAAGCCTAAATGTAACGCTAACCCTAACCCTAATCCTAATCCTAACCCTAACCCTAACCCTAACCCTAAACGTAACGCTAACCCTAACCCTAAACATAGCGCTAAATGTAACGCTAAACCTAAGCCTAAATGTAACGCTAACCCTAACCCTAATCCTAATCCTAACTCTAACCCTAACCCTAACCCTAACTTAAATCGCCCTTCTGCTGATGCGCTGTTGTAAATCGTCCTTCTGTTGACGTGCTGTTGTCGGCACGTTGATGACGTTGCGGTTTTAGCGACGCAGTTTAGTCGGGCGCGGTTTTGTCCTTCGCCCTTTTGTCGGGTCACGGTCCGTTCCACTGATTAATTGTTTCTCCTTAGTTCTAGATACTCAGTGTTGCTCCCTTAAATTTAATAAATTTAATCCTTAATCTCTTGGGCATTCTTAGCCTGAGTTTGCTTACTGTATTAAGTGGTAAAGTGGCTTGATTTTTTTCCGGGGGGGGGGGGAGCTTTGAATGGTAATGAGAGATTTCTAGCCACTGTACTTTGTAAATCAGAGGTCTTCAAACAGCTATGCTGGCTGGAAAATTGTGGGAGTTGAAATCCACAAGTCTTAAAGTTGCCAAGTTTGGAGAGCCCTGTTGTAAATCATGTTTTGTGGCTTAATTCAAAGGAAGGTTTAATTGACAAACTACCAGTAATAGTTTGTGACTTCCGGAGATCTCAGTCCTTGTTTTGGAACTGGTATTTGTTGTTGTGCCATTTTTCACTGAATCATCAGGCTTTCCACATCAGAAATGATCTTGCATAGCACTTTGCATTCTTAACCTGAAAATAGCAGATTCCATATCTCCCTCCTCCACAGAAATGTTTCCAAATGTTTTATTGCCTAATAATAATGATAGCCAACTGTGGCTAGAGCTAAGCTTTGCTGAAGTGGCCTGCAGTAGAATGCCAATGTGGAATTTCAGACAAGAGGTGCATGGTTAAAGTTCCATTGACTGTTTCCCAGTTGTAAAATACCGTATGCATTTAGCTATGCGGTGTATTCCTCCTCTTGCAACATGGATTGCGGAAAAAGAAATATTCACAAAAAGAATGTGTCTGTAATACTCGTCCTTAAAGCAATCGCAGCGAGCCACTTAAACCGTATCTTAAAAGTGATTTTCCCTCCCATCTTTGCCCTCTATTCTGAGTGCTGGTTTTTTCTTTCTTTCCAATTTAATGTCAGTTTTAGAACGAAAGATTTCAATGCGAAAGCCAAGAGAGGAGCTCATTAAAAGAGGGGTTCTGTTGGAAGATGTTGAACAGGGTGAGTTTACCCATTGTCTTCCTCTGTCTATTGTACATTTGCAGTTCCATCTCTGATAAGCCTCATCATTGGCATTTCATGCCTGGGTGCCCCCTCGTTTCCTCCCATCCCTTCCCCGCTTCTGCTAAATGTGACTCTCTGTCCTGGTCTGCCCTTGGAACATTTTTGATATTATATGTTCCGGGGAGAGCAGGCGAAAGAACGGTTTCATTTATTTCCTTCCTTTTCTCCAAGGAGACATTTTAGGTTGACAGATTATGAGTTTTTGAAGGTCAACTGGTGAGTAACTGAAGAGCTGAGTTGGAATCCAAAGTAACGATGGAAAGGGAAGAGCAGACATATATATCACTCAATAAAGTTTTACAGAACTCTCTGAGCAGTTTACAAATGCCAGCCTATTGCCCCCAGCAATCCGGGTCCTTGTTTTACTGACCTCGGAAAGTTGGAAGGCTGAGTCAACTTTGAGCAGGTCAGGATCGAACTCCAGACTGTGGGCAGAGTTAATCTGCAGTACTGCATTCTAACCACTGCGCCATAACGGCTCATAATAGTGCAAGGATTAAAACACAGTCTTGATATATAAATGATTTTGGTTCAACTCTTGATAATTGATGATGGGACTGGACAAGACTTCATCTAAAATTGTGAGTGACTGGGTGATTGACCGCCAACTTGCAAAATCCTTAGCAGATGTGAGCTCATATCTGGATAATTCAAGACTGGAAACCTCAGTGATTTGGGACCATAATTTAGATTTGGGGGCCATAAATGTATACTTTTGAAGCATAAGCTGTGTCAGAGTTTGTTGCATAAATTCAAACCCAGAAGCACGCACAGATAACTGATGCAGCAGGATTCATTAACTTCTTTATATACATAAGAATAGATGAATAAATGTACAATACCAACAGGTGGTTCTTCCAAGTGAACACAAGGCAGGAGAGTTACAGGCAAGCACAAGCAGTTAGTTTCATTTCAGCAGACAAGCCCAGACAGACTGCTAGTTTACTTCTCATAGCAGCACACTGCTTAAGTTTCTGTTTCAATTCTCTGCACAGACTCAGATCTGTTTAAGCTTCCATTGGCTGACTTGTTTGCCAAAGTGGCCAAAGTTGGAGACCCCTGTTCTAAAGGCAGCAAAAGAATAGATAGACTTTTCCTATAGCATCTTCAGCAGAAAAAGACGTTACTCTTCCCCAACTGGATGAGGAATGGAATTCCTGAGCGAAAGTTGTCCTTTTTCGAATTTAGGAATGTTGCAAAGAGCAAGTTGGTCATTCTCCCTTCCCCATTCAGTCAGATGCTAAATGGTAACCGTAGATCTGGTTTTACAGAATGTTCCTTAAAAATTGCTGATCCAGTCCTGCCTACAGGAAAAGGCAGAGGAGGAAATAGCCTTCCCTTCTCAGCAGCACAAGAAATCCATGCCTCTCCCTTCCTATTTCTTATTTACTGTGCGTTAAAAATATTTGTGTTCCACTTGATAGCAGGACTTGGAGGCTCACTGTAAATAAACACAGGATAGGAGAGATCTACAGTGATAGAAACTGACCCTCCAAGTTTCTTCCTTCCTTCAGTGTGATACGTTGGAAAAGAAGAATTGTTCCATTTCTGTTAGCTCACTCACAGCATTGTCTATACATCTGGGATGTGACATGCATCTGTGGGATGCACATAACCTTTAGGTAGCCCTGGATTTTCCCAGTTGCACCAATGCACATCCTAAGAAGGAAGGATAGCCCTCAAACGTCATTCCACACTTTAAACACCAGGCTGAGCAGACTCAATGTCTATTTGTCAACTTTTCTCCACTCAGAGAATGAGGTACATTATATTTATAACTAGCTGATAACCGGGCACAGCCCAGGTATGTATTTATCCCAATCCTGTATTAGAGGGAATCTCTTTGTGGAGTACTGCAAAGCTGTTAACATGGCAACTCCACTGTGCACACTATCACTGTCAAAAGTATTGTGACTTGACACTATAAATATAATTCAGTCCTTTTCATTTCAGCGGCCCAGGCGTTCCAGAGTTATGCTGGAACACACACATATACGGACACACCCACGCCCTGAGGGGTGTTAGGGGAGTCTTACCACCACAGTATTTGTTTTTAGAGAGTAAGTCATCTGTGTACCAAGTTTGGTTGACATTGCTGAAGGCATACACACACACACACACACACACACACACACACACACACACACACACACACACACACACACTACATTGGAATAATTTCTAAACCTAAATTTATAAATCAGGGTTTATAAACTCATGCAGATTCTACGCAGGCTGCATGTGAGGTCATGTATCTGTCACCATCCGAGGAAAAGGCTGCGCACCTTGTGCTGAGTGAATCGAAAGCATTTGTCCTTCTCTCCTTAATTGCATTTCTCTCTTTTGGGGAGAGTGTAGGGTAGCTCCCAATTGAACATGAGTAAGCAGTTAGGATTGGTTTATTCATTTTGAGCTTATTTTCTAAACTGCCTTCCTGGCTGCCACCACCTCTCTCTGTTCTCTTCCTTTTGGCCTGCAAAGGACACAAAAACACAAACAGTCCATCTCCCTCATCAGTTTTAGAAATTCACAGAGATCAGAGAGTTTTTTTGCTTTTGAATCATATAGACCACATGAGAAGCACTTGCCTGCATATGTGCCAAGATCACTTACTCAGCCACTGCCTTCATTTCCTCCTTAAACAGAAGCTGGAAATTCAGCAACACAGAACAATGTGTATTTTGTTGGGGGCGGTGAAAACGATACAGACATGTGATATATACAGCATTGGAGAATAAATAGTGTGTACCGTCACGCTATAGTTACACTGTTAAGAGAAAAATGAACAAGGATAAATTGTTTGGAGGTACAATGACTGAAGTGGCATATAAACATTTGGAAAAAAGGAAGAAATAAATGAATAGATGTCTAAGTATGAAAAAACATACAAGCATAAACTTGCAGGTACAAGTTACAGCATGAAGGTGAACGTTATTATGGTAGGAGTTTCTTACTGATAACATGAACCTAAAAGAGAGCCTATTTATTTACAGTCTGAGGCCAAGTTAGAGGATTTAAAAATACAGCACACCGTTAATACATGCATGCGCGCATAAGTAACAGTACATCTATGTACTACTACAATTTGAAAACTTCAGTTGCGGAAATGGGAATATCATAGGGCAGTGATGGCAAACCTTTTTCTTATGGCGTGCCAAAATTGTGCGCGCGCACCCACACCAATTCAATCCTCTCCACCCACCTGCGGAGGTGTGCACGACCCCTCCCCAGGCTCTGGAGACTTTCCTGAAGCCTGGGGAGGGCGAAAACAGCCTACCCAAGTCCACTGGAAGACCAAAAATCAGTGCATTGGAGCTGACTGCTGGGGTGCCAGCAAATATGGCTCTGTGTACCACCTGTGGCACTCATGCCATAGGTTTGCCATCACGGTCATGGGGCAACAGTTTTTGAATCAACACACCTGAAGCGAGCTAACTCAAATAATGCATCCTAATCTGGGTACCATTTCCCTGTCAACTTTCTCAATGAAAGTCAGTGGGGAAGCCAGCAGGAAGTCGGAGGTTGTTCCTTCTCCTCCTGCTTTTTGTGTGTCTGGGCTCATTCTGTTTCTCTATAAGAAACATCTTTGGAATGATGACCCAAAAGGTTACAGATTGTCTAGTAAATTTATAAAAAGGTGAACCCCTGCAAAATTAATAATTTATTGAAGGATTATGAAGGTTTCCATAAGCGAAGGCGATAAATTAATTTTTTTTTTGCTTCTGCCTTTAAAACTCTTGGGTATGGCTCATTTAAACAGAATATCTCTTCATCACCCATGAAATGTATCGGACTCAGGAGCAGATGTATTAGCTCTGATCACCACTGTGAGTACAGCGGGTCTTTTAAAAGAATAAGTAAAACTCAGCCTCTGTTTGAGCAAATCCATACACAAACCTCATATGGAAGCCTATCAACCAGCTAGATTCTGTGTTCACCGAACTGTCTGACACTGAGTTTTATGGATCGAAAAACCCATGGGGAAATTTGACTTTCTGCAGTAATCCTTTTTATAAAAACTCATAAGGCTCCCCCTCCCCACCCCCACTACTGAAAGCAAGGTGCCAGCTAGCTGGGGAATTCTGGGAGTTGAAGTCCACTAGGCTTAAAGTTGCCAGTGTTGGAGACCCTTGCTCTAGGCCAAACACAATGTAATATTAATCAAGCTCCATAGTTCTCCATATCCCATATTTCTCATTTTGGGCTATTCTAGCTATTTTTAACTGAAGCTTATGCTACATGGGTTTTCTTCCCCCCCATCCTCTCTTTCGACTGTATTCCTGATTTTTAACAAGAGCAGAAGTCTGAACAGAGGGCAAAAGGCTACTTCAAACATTAAATACTTCAGTATAAATAATTTATTAACAATGATAAGACCTTCACAAGTTATGCATGTCATCCAAGTATGTGAACTTGCTTAGCTAAACAAAGCAAGTATTTTAAGATCTTTAATCCCTGCTATATGGTTTTTCTTTTCTTCTTTCTTTCTTTCTTTCTTTCTTTCTTTCTTTCTTTCTTTCTTTCCTTTCTTTTTCTTTCTTTTCTTTTCTTTTCTTTTCTTTCTGCCTTTCTTTTATTTATTTCTTTTTTCTTCTCTCCTTCCTTCCTTCCTTTCTTTTTCCATAAAATCCAGAATCACCTTCTAAATAGAATGTATTCCTTATTTTTATTCTTTACTTTTTTCTCTCTCAGCAGCTTGTAAGAGCTATATAGAAACATTCACATATAAGAGCCTGCTCCCAAACACCCTCGTACACAGACACACATCTGAGGCATGGAAAGTGGAGGATGACTTCATCTTTGGCCCCTGGGTTTTGTCTGGAAGAAGAGACCCCTTGCTTTGTCTCCCTTTTGTCAACCAGAAGTATCTTATTTTCTCTTCAGGGTTGTTTTTTTTTGGCAGGTGTCCCAAACTCTACTCATCTTTCTTTTAAAAACATTGAAATTTCACAGTTGAGTGATCGCACAGATCTTGGTGTAACCTCACTAGCTCTTAGTAAGTAGGGTCTCCCACCATTTCTTGAAAAACGAGAAGGACTGGACTGCCCATCCCATGCGCAGGGCACGCTGCATCATGTTGAGTTTGATACTGCGTATTCTTTGCTGTTAATCTTCCTCTGGATTTGCCTCATAAATTACATGCCCTGAGCACATTTGGGGAGATTCTGTGCTTTGCGTGACAAGCGATTGCTTAATTCTCCCTTCCCCCCCCCTCTTGCAGATGGAGAAGAGCCAGAGAAGTTAATTCATGCCACTTTGAAAAATGGACACACCATTCCCGTGGACTATTCTGGAATTGTCAGTCTTACACACTTGGAGGAAGAAAGCGGAAAGAGGTTGAGCCTTAAGAAGTCCAGTCCCCCTGAAGAGCCAAAGAAATTGCAGGGTGAGAAATTAAGAAGTCGTGTGTGTGTGTGTGTGTGTGTGTGTGTGTGTGTGTGAAAGAGAGAGAGAGAGAGGGACTGTGTGTGTGTGAGTGAGTGAGTGAGTGAGTGCAGGAAGTTGTCTCAGACATAAATGTTGTTATCTATCACTTCTTAATTGTGAATATAACCAGTTTTGGGTCTTGTCTCTGAGACACTGCCACCCACAAGCTGTTATCATAGCAAGGCCTGCCCCTGCCCAGTTTATCTCTTTCCATCTCTCCACTCACCAACCTTGATGTCTCTTGCCACCCACGCTTTGCAAAGGAATGCCAGCCTTGGAATTTGGGAAGTTGCACAAGCCTTCATACTTTCTTTTAGACTGTAGAAATAAATGTAATTCCTGCAGCACTCCAGACATGTTCCATCCTCCCCTCCTCTCTCTCTTTCAATGGCAGGGCCATGGTTTAATGAAGCCATTCTCTTTTCTAGTGCCCTGGTAGAAGATGGCAATTCCAAGCTGGCATACTGTCAGCCTTTGGAAGCTGTCTAGATAAGCACAAACCAGATGTATTATAAAGTTCCTATATAACAGGACATTATAGGGACATGGTGGCTCAGTGGCTATGATGCTGAGCTTGTTGATCAGAAGGTCGGCAGTTCAGCGGTTTGAATCCCTAGCACCGTCTAGCGGTGTTGCTCCCAACAATCTGGGTCCTCATTTTACTGACCCCGGAAGGATGGAAGGCTGAGCCAACCTTGAACTGATCAGGATCGAACTGCTGAAGGTTGGCAGAATTAGCCTGCAGTAGTGCATTCTAACCACTGCGCCACCACTGTTTTGTTTTTCCTACACCCCTTTTTGTCTGTTAAGCTTATTCCCACATACTTGTCAGACGCAAGAAACCAGGATAGAGGCCAAAAGTACTACAAGTTATTTCTATGCTACCTATACACAAGAATCTGATCTCTAATAGCCAAAGCAAATTGGCCCTAGATAAAGAGTCAACAAATTCACGGAGGACTGGACTTAGTTTCCTTGTGGGCATGTAGTGACTCCAAACTTATGATGTATTTGACCCCGCCCTCCAGCTTAGCCTGGACATCTCGAATAATACTATTACACAGAAACAGTGGGTTTATATTAATTTGGGATGACCCAAGCATATCAGTGGTGGGTTCCAGATCCCGTCGAAACCGGTATGCTTTGACAGGGCTGGGTGTCCACTTCGGGCATGCGCGCTGTGCACCCATGCGCACCCACCACCCTGCGACTCTCCAGCTGCTCAGTGGAGGTCACGCAGGCGCTGTATGCTGTGTGCGCATGCGCAAATGGCCCGGGTTGGTTTAAATACAGGTAAGGAAGGCAGGAGGGTGGGTGGGCTCTCCAAAACAGTGTTCCGGTATGGTGGCTGTTGTTCCCAGCGGCCACCGGTATGCCCGTACCGGGGCGTACCAGCCGGAAACCACCACTGAAGCACATCTGTAATGTGGAAGAGGAGGTTGGCTTGATCCATATCTGGAATATTTGGAATGGCTCACATAGAACCAGATTTTGGGTTAAATTAGAGAATTTGGTTCCTTATTGACGTCTTGTATATTTAATACAGGCATCATATCAAGGTAGTGTGGATGCAACAGAAAAAGTTTACTTACAGATAATATTACAGTGAATTAAGGGATGGTTCTTTCCAGTTCAGGGGCTAATCTTTTTTTTTTTTTAATGTTTTTTCACAGGATCTTACAGCAACCACCCCAATTCAGAAACGGAGCCCCATCCTATGCCCCCTGGTCCCAAGCAGCCTCTGCTTCCCCCGAAGCGACCCTTGTCGTCCTCTCCGCAGGAGACGAGTGATCTGCCAGCAAGGGAGTTTGGCCTTGGCAACAGCAGCGCAAGGACAGTGTCTTCTTATTCCACAGCTGCATCTGCCACCAGCACAACGAAAGGGGGCGTTGCTCCTACCCCTGCACCCCGGACTCTTCTCCCTGCTCCCACAAGTGGCCACGCTTCGGCCACCCACACTAGCAACGCCACCCCGACCAAGCAGCCCCCTGTGCCACCGCCCAAGCCTGTTAATAGAAATAGCAACCCCTTAATGGGTAAGTGATTAATCTTTTTTTCTCCCTCTTTCCCCTCCCCCCCTCTTCTGTTTAATTGTGCCCGATTCTCCTGAGCAAGTCCTGGCAGTTTTCTTGGCAAGGTTTTTCCAAAGCGGTTGGCCATTGCGTCCTTCCTAGGGCTGAAAGAAAGGGGCTGGCCTGGTTTATAACTTGGTGACTTAACTGCTGCGCCAAACTGGCTCTCGTACCTTAAGTAAGATCTTGATCTGCCGACATGCTGACATTCAATTTTGCTTATCACTTTTGTCCCCCAGTGATGCTGTTTTGAACGTCTGTGTCACAGCTGTTAGCTCATAAGGTTGTCCCTTCTCTTCCAGCTCAGCTAAAAAGCTACCCCCCCTGTTTGAGTACAAATATCAATACACTTTCCATTCGCGATGTTTGTATCTCTTTAAAATCTTAGTATCGTACCACAGATTCTGTTCCGGATGGACCCAGAGAAATGGAAAGTTATCCTTAAATGTTCCTTGTAGAAATGTGCCAACATTTTCCAGGGTATTTTGCTCCAATTGCTGCCCAAGTAGGGGGGGGGTCTCTCCTCCAAGTTGTAGATTGCAACTGTTTTCTTAGAGGTGTCTTCTCAGGGATCAGGAGCACTTTTATGACTAACAAATTTTAATAAGAAGTGTAGTAGGCTTTTATCGTAAGCAGGTGGTGGCTCAGCGGCTAAGACGCTGAGCTTGTCGATCAAAAAGGTCGGCGGTTTGAATCCCTAGAGCCGCATAATGGAGTGAGCTCCCGTTACTTGTCCCATTTTCTGCCAACCTAGCAGTTAAAATGCAAGTAGAAAAATAGGGACCACTTTGGTGGGAAGGTAACAATGTTCCATGCGCCTTTGGTGTTTAGTCATGACGGCCACATGATCATGGAGACGTCTTCGGACAGCGCTGGCTCTTTGGCTTTGAAACGGAGATGAGCACCGCTCCTAGAGTTGGTAAAAACTAGCGCATATGTGTGAGGGGAACCTTTACCTTACATCTTTAAGAGCTTGGGGATGACCTTCCAGAGCAGAGCCAAAGGTCCATGCTCAGTGACCCACCCAGATATCACCTCTCCGTTCCTAAGTTCCAAATTCTCCATTGTCCCTTGTTGTACAATTTAACCGGATTCTAAAATTATTCCGTGTCCTCATTATGTTGATTACTTCCTCAGCGCCGGCTATATACTAGGGATTAAAATGGGATTACATTTATGCTAAGTAATTTGTTAGCTAAGTGTTTTTGGAACCTTCCCTACCTTAGGAGGAGCCAATTGGGAGAGCCAGATTGCAGAAGGCTGTACACAAAAACAGGGAGGAAGGCCCTACAACAAGAGTGTCAAACTTGTTTTTATTGATGACGGCATCAGGGTTGTGTTTGACCTTGGGAGTGGGGGGGGCGGGGGTAGGCATGGCCAGGTAGGTGTGGCTAGCTTCACATCACTCGTGTTAGGGGCACCTGTGATGGCTGAGTGCTCTGCCAGTGAAAATGAGCTCCCGAGCTCCGTTTCCAGCTGGGATAGTCTCCTGCAACCCTCTGCCAGTGGAAACGGCTGGCAGAGGTACATTGCTCCAGTCTTTTGTTGTTTCCCAGGTGGCCGCGCGGCCCAGATCCAGCCTTGAGTATGACGCCCCACCCTAAAATATTCTGAGATTACAGTGCTGAAATCTGGTGGGATTTTGATAGTGTGATCTTTGGGCCTTTTTTCTTTTTGTTGTTTTACAACAGCGGCCCCTAACCTTTCGGGCCTCAGGGACCAGTTCTGTGGAGACAGGTTTTTCCGCCTTCCGCCAATCCATTTAACAACGATGGCAAGAGAGATCACGAAATAAGCCCAAACTCACTTAACAACTGCCTTGCTTAGCAATGGAAATTTTGGGTTTGGTTGTGGTCATAAGTCGAGGACTACCTGTATGGACCCCTGTAAGAAACATTTCCCTGCAATATGAATGTACCACAGTTTTTTCAGCTGTGTCCATCAAGTAGTCTAGCACAGGGGCGTCAAACACACGGCCCGTGATGTGGTCGGATCTGGCCCGTCCTGGACAATGTAATGGACCGTTGCATGGCTTCAGCCCGGTCCACCCAATGCGAAGAGGAAACATGCCAGCATTTTGGGGAGTGGCCCACCCGGCCCCCTGAGGTCAACCACAGCCCTGACGCGGCCCTCAATGAAATTGAGTTTGACATCCCTGGTCTAATGCACTGATCAAAATCCCCATTGGAAGGGGAGGTAATAAAGAAGATATTAGGCTGTGCAGAAATGAATAGGTTGACATTGAGAATAAAGGTCAAGGAGGAACAGGACATGGGAGTGATTTTATGAGTGGCTTGAAAAAAGATATAAATAGAAAGAAAAAGGAACAAAACATGAAATAAATATCTCAGATGACACATGATTAAAATAGGGGGAGGGGAAATAAGAAAAATATCAAAATGTAAATATACAGGCGAAAAAATAATATGAATTGACATATGGTAAATAACAATTATAAAAATTTATATCTAAGAATGAATTCGAAAGGAAAAATAAAAAATAAAACTTCTTACAAAATGTGATCCGAGGAAAAATATCTCTCGCATCTGAGCACAGATGTGTTCAGTTCTAGTCTGTTTATTTTGTTCTGCTGATTTTCACTATATATACAGTATATAATGCCAGATCATCAGATTGCTGGTAAATTTCATTGCATTGACGTCAAGCACGAAATCAGCCTGTCCAGTTCAAGAGAGTATTGGTTACGCAGACGGTCTCTGTTGCTTTCTGTTGCTTGCCATGTGAAAAGCCTGGTTAGAGCCACCAAGGAGGGTGTCTTTCATAGGCTACCTGTTCACCTGGGCTGGTTGGAAACAGGACCCCCATGGGGGAGGGGACGAGAGTGAAACCCGCAGGTAGCTAACGTAGTTTAGGGAAGGGCCTGGCAATACCTGTGTTTTGAGGGTGTGGAGAGAAAGAAGAGTGACATGTAAGACGATCTGGCAAATCGACACCTGTTCCTGCTCACCTGCTAAGAATTCACGGTGGAAGTTGGGGGTGGAGGAGGGCGGTGGTGCAATCCAACTCCGGATGTACGCGGGACTTTCGTTTCTGACACACAAGGCGAGGACGGCAAAAACTTGTTCAGCTGTGTAACTTGCCGAGTTTTACTACCTTGACTCTCTCATGGGATGGAACAACACAAATACGGAACAAGAAAAAGCTCATTGAGAAGAAAGCAGCTGAGATTGGAACGTAGGGAAGTGTTTTAGGTGAAATCCCTTCCATGTTCAGTCTTAAAATTGCGGTTCTTAAATCATAAAACAGCTTTGCTTGTCTTTGGCTTAGCACATGGTGCAAACCAAGTCATTGTGGGTTGTAAACCAGGTTTGATGTTCGACACAATGTGGATTATTTAACAAATCAGAGTCACCGTGCGAGTTGGGCAGCTATATAAATTTGTTTAATAAATCACAGTTAAAACAAACCATAGTTTAATGCTATGAGTGGAACAGCTCGCAACTGAATGCAAAGACCAAAGCATCAACGTAAACTTTTCTTCATTCTAGCCGCACAATTCACGAGTAACCTTGGAGAGAGCCCTAAGGTTTGAGGTTACAGACAGGTAGTCCTTGACTTACAACCATTCATTTAGTGAAGTTACAATGGCACTAAAAAAAAAGGTAGCATTTTTTACACTTACGACCCCTGCAGCATCCCCATGGTCACATGATCAGAATTTATATGTTTGGCAACTGTCTTGTATTTATGAGGGGTTGCAATGTTCCGGGGTCATGGGGTCCCTTTTTGTGACCTTCTGACAAGCGGTTCGCCCAGAAAACACCTATCCTCCGCGAGCTGCGCTGGCTACCTGTTGATCTCCGGATGTGCTTCAAGGTGCTACTTACCATCCATAAATACAAGACAGTTGCCAAACATATAAATTCTGATCATGTGACCATGGGGATGCTGCAGGGGTCGTAAGTGTAAAAA